AGAGCGAGTAGAGAGGGCCTGGAAGATAGGATGAAGCTGGCTGAGCGAGACTTTATCCATCAACTGCCAATGATCTCTATGATTTCTGAAGACTTTCATATACTGTACGGTACGACGTCCAGGCAGCTGGTGGTGGAGGTATCTCCTTCCTTCCTAATCAGGCAATTATTCACCTGGACCTAGTCAGTCTACATGCTCCTACTCAATAAACAATAGCAGGTACCTATGCTAGTATGTATAGAGAGGTACTACTGTAGGTACTCAGTTACTCCTGACTAGTACTCATACAACCCTCCTTCTCTCTCCTTCTTCCCTTCTCTCCTTATCCTAAACTACAGCTCCATCTCCATTCGATCGAGACACCCTTTCTTTCTTCCTTTCTTTTTCTTTTTCTTCTTCTTCTTCTTCTTCTTCTTCCTCTTCCTCTTCTTTTTCTTTTCCTTTTCTCTACCGTAGTTGCCTCTCAATAATCATTGACAGTCCTGCTTGATTGGTGCGCTGGTGGCTGGAAACGGAGTCGCCTGTTCGACGTGGCATGCAGACATGCCAGCAGCAAAGTGGATCGCCCGCCTTTCCTCGCCATGGCCCCGCCATCTAGTCTAGGTACACAGAGTCCTGGACTGGGAGTCTGAGATGGAGGCCTCCATACTCCTGAGCACCCATACCATACCAAACTCATCGAAGGCCTATGACATCCTGATGATCACTGACTGACTGACTGACTTCCCTGTCGCCGCCAGCTGCCGGATATCGGCCCCCAGCATGGTTTGCCGACCTTGTGAGGTGTTCTTGTGTCTTGATATGCACGTCAATGCTTTGACGACCACCCCCCTCCTCACACTCTCCGGTGCGCTGAGCTTGTTCTAGGAGTAGTCGGATGGAGTAACAATCCAGGCTAGCCATGAGATGAGGGAAATTGCCTCTTTGCCTCCCTCCCTTCCCCTGAGTCTTTCCCCCCCCCCCGACCCCCCGACTCTCAATCTCCGACAGTCGCCTGGATCTATAATCTTCTTGGTTGCATGATTCGCCATGCATCGGCACCTAGGCCGCAGAAATTTCGAATCACGGGAAAATTCGATAAAGAGGGGCATTTTCTGGCGGTCAGATCACACCGTCCATTGATTAGTAGTAGCAGCAGCAGCAGATGTGCCCGAAGCAGGAACCAACGAGACAAACCATCGATCCAGCAGGCTGCCCCTCAGTGGCTCCCCAGACTGGCTGTTTGCTGTCATGCCTGACCGTCATTCGTTGCTGGCTTGTTCTGAGTGACCCCCCGGCGAATTGATTCTGAAATCAAGAGGCCCAATGCCAGGCCCTGACTGAGCGAAGAACCCTCTCTGCAGCGTCTGAGTTCGGTTGCTGTTGGCTCTCCCTGCATGGTCGACACCCTTCATCGCGGTTTCAGCATCTCTCCCTTTTGGGACATGGCCATGCTCCACTCCTGCCAATCCCTATCGTCCACCTCGTTCAAGGACCCTCTCGCCTCACCCAACTTTCTTTTCTGACATGATGCCGTTGTTTGCACCTGGCTCCGGCGCTTTCCCCACCGTTTCCTGATAGGCGCCCCGTCCGCCATGGGCAGGGCCACCTACCGCACCGTCCGCCGGCCTCCCCCACGGTGACCTGGCGGTCCCTCTGAGCAACTTCCCGTCGTCGCTAGCTTCGATCTAGCTTCACCGAAAGAGTATCCGCCATGGGTCCTCTGGGGAGGGGCGAAGACCTACCGATAGGAGTCAGCGCTGCCCAGACGGGGACTTGATGCCTCGTGGACTCACTGGGCAGTCATTATTGTCTGGACGCCATGCGAATGGATGCAGGCCTGCCTGCGAAAGTCGGCCTGATTCCCCTTGGTTGGAACAACTGGCTTTATTCGCACGATAATTTTATCTTGGTCTGGCAGTGGCTTCTGACCGCTCGTGATTGGATCCCAGTTGGGCATTCTGCGTGATTCCTCCCTGAATCCTAACGGAAGGCCGACATTTTGCCTTGAAATAGTGCTGCTTCTCGCCTGGTCTTTTCGTTTCTCCTTCCCCCTCATGATCTCATCTACCTCAATCTCTCCCGGCAGCGTGTATATAATCCTTCCTCACGTCGCTTGACTCACGTCAACGCTGCAGTCACCTCACCCAGGAATCCCTCTTACTGGGGAACCGGCACTCCATCGTTGTATAGACTTGGGTCGCAACCCCCCCTTACTTCGCAACCTTTCTGGAGACTTACCAATCCTAACACTTGTGCCCTTTGATGCTCACGGAGAATTGCCTCCAGTGAGCCAATCACCGCCATCATGCCTCTTTCACATCTTACCTTGACCGTTTCCCACCTTCCCACCTCCACATCCTTCTTCCTTTCCTGCTTACAACCGCTCGGTTATCAATTTATTGGCCGCCATGATGACTACATTGGTTTCGGTCAGAAGCAGGGCGAGCCCGCTGATTTCTGGATAACCGAACAAAAGCCAGGGTGAGTTATTGGCTAATGCACCATGTGAAGCGTTGGGCGACGACTAACTAAACTCTACAGAGTGCCGGCCGGTGCAGCACATGTCGCCTTCCCAGCGACCTCCAAGGATGCAGTAGGAACATTCTTCATCAGTGCGCTTAAGGCTGGTGGCAAGATCCATGGAGAGCCCAAAATGCGCGACTCAGAGTCTGGCTACTACAGCGCCGCGGTGATCGACTTTGACGGTAACAGTATTGAGGCTGTCTACCGACCCAGCAGTTCCTCGGCTAGGTCCGAGGTCAAGTCAGTAGTCAAGTCGGAGATCAGCCGGCCAGCTCTGGCCTTGTTGGAGAACGGATCTGTCGTCTCAAAGGCGAGCAGCAGAGCCAGCTCAGTCAAAACCGAAAGTATTGCCCCGCCTCGATCGGAAGCCCGGTCAGAAGCTCGGTCGTACGTGTCGAAGACAAACACTGCCATCGAGAGAGTGGTGCCTCTCGAGCGAGGCGCCCCGTCAATGGTGAGTCGGGATCATTACCAGGCGCCGCGCGATATTCAACCGGCTCCGTCGCCGACCTACATTGTACACCACACGACACATACAACGCAGAAGACAGACAATGACAAAACAGCCAAGACGATTGTCGGCACTCTCATCGGAGCCGCAGCGGGTGCAGCCTTGGCCTATGCCATCGCCAAAGGAGACTCGAATGAGTCTACTGAAACCAACTCCGCGCCTTCCCAGTTTTCTCCTAGGGACATTGCTCAGCTCCTCTCCCCGTCCCAAGCCTCCTCTCAGGCGCAAGAGTATCCCAATTTCAAGGCCATCGAGGCAGGTCCGGCCCGGAGTACTTACTCCGCGCGGTCTGATGGCCGGCCGATGCTCACTCGTAGCGTGACGTCGAAGAACCCGCGTGCAAGCACCATCTATGAAGGAACCGAGTTTGCTCCCCGCGGCAGCGGCGGCAGTGTGTATCTCGATGAGAACGGGCGCCGAGCCTCGGAAGGAAGCGTTTACAGTACCCGGGAAATTCCCCTACGCGCAATCGAGTACGGGCAGCCGGACTCCCAATCTCGAGGGTATGAGAGCACTTTGATCAGCAGTTTTCCCGATAAGTCGCGGGCGATGGACCGGGAAAGCGTCTACTCGGCGTCGACCATCAAACCCTCCAAGGGTAACTATCAAGAATCCCACCATGGCTCTCACCGGTCATCTCACTCCCACCACTCTACACCCCGCACTCTCCCGCCAGGGAGCACAGCCTCATCCGTTCGCTCTGCGCGCCAAGTCCCTATTCCGGAGGGCTCCTCCATCGGGTCCCTTGCTTCCTACCGCAGCGGGGCTAAATCAGGTGTCTCGGCCCGCGAAGTGCCTCTCCCCGAGAGTGTTATCGACCTTGACGTTCGCAGCAATGTGACTCCTGACGATTCGATCAGCCAAGTGGATGACTCCCGGCGCTCATCCTACTCCCACAAGTCCCATGCCTCCAAGGCCGCTGGGTCTCGCGTCTCGAAACACTCTAGCAAGTTTGACGAGCCTGTCAGGCCGAGTGACAGTGTCAGCCAAGTCTCCAGCAATGTCTCCCAGCGGACCATGAAGGCGGGCGGTGGTGGTGGAAGCATCGCCCCTTCCAAGGCGGCTTCCAAAATGAGCAGTCGTCGGGGCAGTAGCCAGGTTGCGTAAACGCATCCATCTCTTGGAAATCCATCTCTTATTTGTCATCTGTCTTTTGGACCGCTGTCATTTTTCTTTCTTTCTTTCTTTCTTTCTTTCTTTCTTTCTTTCTTTCTTTCTTTCTTTCTTTCTTCTTACTCTTACGATAATTACCTTACTGCTCGGTCCAGGACAGGGATTTCTTTCCCCTCCCGCGCGGTCTGCGCTATATAACACCAGTCGACAGTGTTTGAATTGCTTGCATCCCTCCAGACATGTACCTTAGCAATGTGAGGCTTGATTTATTTTGCTTGCTACATACATGGGACATTTACACAACACACATGCATCTGTGCGCATCACATTGGGGCGTTTTGATCTTTTCTGGTTGTGGTTTCTTCCTACGGGCATGGCGATAAATGGTGCCATACGGCTTGGCTTTTCTTTTTAGGTTTTCCTTTATGTGAATGAACATCAGCGAAGAGATGAACTATAGCTCTGCTTTGGTAGTTTGCCTTGGAGACCTCACCGCACCAGGGTTCTTAAGTCACGTAAGTCACGTGTCAAAGGGATTACACACTGCCACCCCACGTGCCAATCAGTGCAACTAGGGCATGGAGGGCACGCTGGCCGCTAGGCGCCTTTTACAAAGAAAGTCTCGAGTCACCAGTTCTGGATTTGCTTGGCTCCTGAATGCACTATCTGATACAGACCAAACCCACCACTAGCAACCTCATCATGTCGTCCATCGGCCTTCCGTCCCCACCCTCCACCACTACTTCGACCGTCACGACCAACCTCGAACCATCCTTCCCACGTCCACCACCACCCCTCCGACCCGAGGAAAACAGCCTGGGGTTTAATGTTCAACATTGTAGCATGGGATCCGACTCCATTCAGGAAAAATAAAAAATGCCATGAATGCATAATGAGAATTGGTCATAATGATCGTTGAATATGACATTTCCCGCCAAGAGAAAGTGAAATAAGGGGTTTGAGGTAAAGGGGAATCAGACGCGCAAACTGAAAAAAGGAAAGGATCTACGATCACGGTACGCCAGGCTTCGGATCTGATCTAACGATTTGGAAAGAAGACGCAGAAGCGAGTGGGAAGACCAAGGTGGCCGTGGAAACTTGAATTGCGAAGATCAGATAGCGTATTTGCGAGTCCATTCACGCGCGGTCGCCTCGTACCGAGGGCGGTCGGTCTTGTACACGTGAGCAATCTCGGGCACCAACGGATCGTCGGGGTTGGGATCGGTGAGCATCGAGCAAATCGAAAGTAGCACTGCGGAAGGAGTTAGTGGGTGTGAGGACCGATAGGGGGCGCAACGGGGAGGGACGAACCCTTGGAGATCGTAAGAGCAGGGCTCCATTGGTCTCTGAGAATGTCAAGACAGATGCTGCCGTTCGAGTTGATGTTGGGGTGGTAGATGCGGGTGGTGAAATTGACCTTCGGGGGCTTGAATGGGTAGTCGGTGGGGAAGTGAATGTTCAAGAAGAAAACGCCTCCCGAGTATGGGGAGTCACCCTGGCAGTGGCTGCGTTAGTAAACATGTGGGACGACCATAAAAAGACAACCCTTCGGTAAGAGCGTAGGGGATCCCTCTGTCTCTCGAAAGGAGCCAGGACAGACCCGACCGTGTCGTGCATCCAGGAATAGATTCTAGAGGACTCACAGGACCCATGATAGTTGCTTGCCAGTGGAACTAAGCGCGCAGAGAAAGACTTCAGTCAGCATAATTGTCCACCCAAAGATTGCGGACGGAAAGGCGACATGAACGTTCTGCGTTATTGAGCAACCCCGCCGCGGTCGGCATGAGGAGGCGAAGCGACCGTGTTGGGACATCAGGCACGCGGGAGGGGATGGGAGCATACCAGGTCATCTCCGGTAGGGCCAGCAGAGCAGGAAGAGGGGGGATCCCTATAATGCAAGAATAACATTACGTTAGCGTATGTTGCAGAGTGAAGTCATCACCCAGTCTGGCGATTTCGTTGATGGATGAGGTGTGGCATAGTAGGGCAGATGACTGGGAGCGCCCCGCGGCTGTGGTGGGGGTGTGAGGCGCCCGGGGGCCATCGTAATGGCGGCATTCGAAAGACGAGGATAGACCCAAGGAAAGAAGATGTTGGGGAGAGCGCTTACCGGCCGAGATCAGTGAGTTCCTTGTTAATACGCTTGAGAGCCATGTTGTGATCTGGAAAAGAGTGGAGGAAAGACCCCTGAATGAAGTGTCGAAAGAGGGGGGGAAGAGAAAGGCGGGTATCGAATTTGAAGGTGGGAAAACTGCTCAAGCACCAACACAGTCAGTAAAAGAAGACTGGGTCAACTGTCGAGGAGGACGAATTCACAAGAAAAAGAAGGGAAAGAAGGTAGATATAAGAACAGAGAGTATATAGGAGGAATTAAATCCAGTCAAATAAGGAAGAGGTATTGGTAAGGTAGTATTGGTGTTGGGAAAGAGGAGGAGGGGCAGGCAAGATTCACTCACAGACGGGTTTTGATTACGTCGGGAAGACGAGGAAGGAGGAAAGGAAGAGAAGAAGGGAAAGAAAAGAAGAGAGAGAGAGAGAGTAAGAGAAGGAAAAAGAGGGAGAGGGGAAGGAAGGAAGGAAGAAGAAAAGGCGGGCGTGGCCCACTTTCCGTTACCGTATGGTAATTACCAACCCATTTCTCATCCTCACCTCAGCCGACCGCTGAGTCAGCCGTCTGGTTTGGTGGTTGTTTGTTGATTGCTAAGAGCGGCATCAGCCACAGGCTCACCTCATACAAAGCCCTGCCGTGTACCGTGCATGTATGTACAGTACGGTACAGTACATGATTTGCTGTATAGTATAAGTATGCTTACCTCTTAGATTGTACTGTATTGTATACATGTACAGTGCAAACAGCACACCCCATCAGCCCATACTATACAATCGATAACGATCAGTAGGTAACTTCTCTTTCTCGCCTGTCTCAGCAACATCATATCCAAGCCTATGTACCGATGTACAGTACCACCCAGGCAAGGCCGCAAGATAGATACCCCTCGATATGGAAAAGACCAGGGCTGTGGGGGTCGAGTCATCGAAAAGTGGGGATTCCCACTCCTCATCGACCAAATCATGGTTATTGCCAGCCACGTTTGTCAGGTTCGTCCCAATCCGGATTTTTTTGTTCTTCGGAATCTTCGAATTTTCCTGCATCTTGCCACTTCTTTTTTCTTTTTTTTTATTTTGTTCCCTCCTGTTTGTTTCATTAATGGTTTCCGAAACATACTCATACTCGAGGAGTATGTCATCCCGCATTCTACGGGGTACTCATTCATACTAGTACTCCTATGTGAACTAACTTCGATAGTGCTGCAGACAGTCAGTCAGTAACTTAAATGTACTGTACAGGAGAGTAGAACTACAGTACTCGATACACAGCTAAGCCCCCCTCCCTTCAGATTCAGCAGCCTTACGGTCGAGAGCAGGCAACTGGGCTCCCAGATAACTAGTAATCCTCTTTCCCCCGCCACGTCGGTTCGATCCCTTTGGGCTTGAATATTCCTCATGAGGTTCACTTCGGTTTGCCTCGCCTCGCCTCGCCTCGCCTCCCTCGCTCGTCATCGAATGCGGCGAAGATGAGGTGTGGTTATTCAGTGGTAGATTCAGCCTGTTCCATCGGAACAGTTACCGGTAACTTACCTCGGTCTTACATACTGTACAAGCACCAGCAGGTCCCACGTGGCGCAGCACATGGCACGTGACTCCAGACGGCGCTTGCGGTTTCGAGAATCGTCCGAGAAGGCTGACTTACAATATGGATGTTTGACTCTTGGTTGAATCCGGTGCTCGGTTACGGAATGACTGGCTGCCTATGTACATAGATGGTATGATGTGATCATGTGTGGTGGCGTGGACGAGCTGGCGTACTATATGCCATCATCTGACCAGGAGATTGACTTGTATACTTTAAACTGAAGATGCGACAGTGCTGCTCGCGCTAGACAAATGCTTGGACGCCCGTGATGGCCCGTCCAAGTATCAGGGCTATGATGATTGTAAGTATATTGAGTACGAAGACGGGGGAAGGGAGGGAAGCCGTACTGTGAATGTCACTCTGGCCTTCGTAGGTTTGCACCACGAACAAATTGGCAACGTGGCGGGCAATATGGTATTCATCGCTGGTCGCATTGCCGCCGAAGACCTCCTGGAGTCTGCGATATAGGAAATAGAGGGTCAGTCGAGTTCTTCGAGGGTCAAAGAGAGGATGGATCCATACATCCGCGAGTTGGCCAAGGCACGATCACAGTTCTGTCGCTTAACCATCGAGATCATTTCAGGAGTGCACTTGCCAGCATCCTTCAACCGCGCTACTTGCGTCGCGGCCAGGGTACCGTAGGCCGCGTCCGTCGCCGCATCCGCCAGCTTCTTCTGGATCAGTTGGTACTTCGCCAACGGGTTGCCCTTGAACTGCTTCCTTTCCAGAGCATACGTCCGGGCCCGGTCCAAGCAGTCCTCAAGGGCACCCATGGCGCCAAACGCGATGCCCAACCGGGCACTGTTGAGACATGTGAAAGGACCCGCAAGGCCCTGTACCTCCGGGAACATATTCTCCGCAGGGACAGGACAGTCGTCCATCTGGATCATGCCCGTGATCGAGGCGCGCAGAGCGGTCTTGTTCTTGATGGCGGGGGTCTCCAGCGTGCCAGGAGGGCATTTGCTGCGCTCGACGACAAACCCCCGGATCTTGCCCGTGGTTTGCAGCTTAGCCCAGACAACCATGATGTCCGAGATAGGGGAGTTGGTGATCCAGGTCTTGGTACCAGATAACAAGTAGTATCCCTTCTTAGTGGGATGCTCCCGTGCTACTGTTTCCATTGCGCCCGGGTCGGAGCCGTGGTTGGGTTCGGTGAGGCCAAAGCAGCCAGCCAACTTGCCCTTTGCCAGCTCGGGGAGGAGGCGATCCTTGAGCTCTTGCGTACCGAAGTCATGAATGGCCGTCATCGCCAGAGAGCTCTGGACCGACATCCCTGAGCGGTATCCCGAATCCACGCGTTCAACCTCCTTGGTGATCAACCCAGATGCCACGGTGCTGGCTCCTGCGCATCCGTATCCTTCGATGCTGGCGCCGAGAAGGCCGAGCTCGCCCATTTCTTCGAGGATCTTGCGGTCGTAGTCTTCATTTCGGTAGGCATCTAATAGGAGCACCAAGATCAGTCACAATCGCATCCCATACAATGCTACCGCTGATTTGGATCACTTACCGAGTACACGAGGCAGCAGACGTTCCTGGCAGTACTGCCGGGCGGTATCTTGAATTGCCAACTCCTCCTCAGTATACAGTTCGGACGCAACCAGAGGGTCTTCCCAGTTAAAAGTCGCATATCCACGCTTCGAATTGGCGAGTGAAGCGGCAGTGGCAGGTGCGGCGTATCGGCGGTTTGCCGCCCGGAGGTGGCGCGAGGCCGTGCGGAGAACGGAGGGGTTCATCTTCGAGAAGAAATCTGATGGGAAGAAAAGTGTGAAACTTGGGAGAGCGGTCTATAGATATGTTAAGCCGCCCGGGTCATTCAACTCATCAGTTCAATTGTAGTCGAAAGAGAGGCGTGGGGAAAGGAGGAATCTCTCTTACTGGGCCGGAAGAAGCGTTGCGGGGAGACGGCTCTCCAAATGCAGCCTCGGTAAATCCCGTCGGAAGCGTAGTATGTAATTTTGTGGAGCACGGAAGAGCACAATGACCTAACAACCTCAATAGACTGGAAGAAGATAGTAGAGAATGCCGAGCTGGACAGAAGCCAATCTTCCGATTCTTAAATGGTACTTTCCTTGTCTTCTGGGGGTAAAGAAGCAAATGCTTGAACCTCGAACCGATTGAGCCGCGGAGGAGTTGAACAACTTCAAAAGCAGGGAACGGAGACTTCGGCTTGCCTTCCGTCCCCGTCGGCCCTTCCGTCCAATCGATAAGCGATCCCCGGAATGCCAGTTGATAGGGAAGAGCTGCCTACAGCCGAGTAGTTTACCCTGTGTTTAGTGCAGTGCCTCATACCTATCTCATTAATAGGTAGGTATGTACAGTACAATTAGCACCTCATAGCACCCTTACGTCTTGTGCTATATAGATAGATAGCATATATTCGTAGTCATTGCATGCGTCCTGCGCAATTCATCTCCTGTCGTTATCGTTATGCTCTATGTATATAACAGCTTTAAGCAGGCATCTGAGATTGAAGAAAATCGAAGACGCCGGTTGGGAAATACTCCTCGTCAAACCCCCACAAATCAGCCATCATCGGATCGACCGAGCCCTCCCACAGTCCAACCTCTTGCTTCTCGTGTCCGGTATTGGACTCGGAACTATTTCCCCTCTCTGCTGAGAGAGGTGCTACCCCCAACAAGGCCGGTGAGTGGTTGAGAATCGTTTCCCGTTCACCCAGAGCTTGCGGTCCAGGGGCTACAACAGGTTTGGGCAAAGAGGTATTGTCCTGAGGGTTTTGTCCCGAGGACAGGGTGCTATTGCTGGTTCTTTTCTCCCACTCCTCCAAGCCCGTAAGCATCTTTTTCAAGCCACGGGCAATGTGATGACTAAGATGATGCTCACTGGCGCGTTTGCTGCACGAGACCATCATGTCGATGATCCGGCTAACCAGCGCACGAACATACCCGACCTCGATGAGCAAGCCGGCCGAGGCGATGGAATTTTGCTGGCCCGTAGCCCCCGTCGCATTACCTGAGCAGCCCTTCGCAGCGATCTTCAACAAAAATACAGCCGCGAAAGTGATCATACTGTGAAGGTAGAGCGGAACCCCCACCAAGGCCCTTTCGATATCGGGCTCATCAAGGACGACCCGAAGCGTGTCGATAGCGGATCGTATGGCTATGCTTGCTCGGTGCTTCCGCTCATTGGACATGGGCCGCGTAGAGCCGGACGAATGATAAGTTCGCAAAGCGACCGAATTGAGCTGCAAGCGAGAGAAATGGTAGTGTAGGTAGACCGCCTTATAAGGATACTTCCCGACATATCGACTCCCCACTGTGTTGTCAGGATTAGCGCATTGCGTCGACGAGCATCGACAGCAGCGACATACCTAAACGAGGAATCCAGGACGATTGCCAGTCCGCAAGAGCAGCATCAAATTTATCAATCTCGGAGAATTCGCTGTCAGGAACCTCCAAGTCAACATCAGGACCAAAGGCGTGGTAAATGTGGGTGAGGATGATGAACAAGTCAACCTGGCTATGCAGGCGCAGGTCCCCTTGTTGCGTGTTCGGAGACTGTATGAATATGTTGTGGTTCTTTATGCTCAAATCTTCGTGTATGATGGGAGGCCGCCCATAGGCGATGGAAAAATGATGTTCTAGGGTCTAAGGAGGTCAGTGAGAAGACCCAACTTATCGTCGGTGCCAGGCAGCGGGGGAATTCCACCACATACATATAAGAGATACCATAACCGTGCTTGCTCTATATGTTCCGGAGATCCTTGTGTGGCTTTTCTATACGATTGATGCAGGTTGTGCTCGGTTGCAATGCGAACGGCATAACCAGATAGCTTCCAGCTCACGTCGGCAAGCCAAAAGGCCCCTATACAAAGGGCGCGAAGATCATCCAACGTATGATGTCTATCTAGCATAGATTCCGATGCTAATTTAGCGAATTCGGTGTAGCAGATTTCAAACACTCGCTCTTTGCTCGGCATGTGAAGAGCTGTCACGGCAAGAATGGCAGCAGAGAGCATTGAGGAAGAATTGCGCACTGAGGTTAGATCCTTGTGGTTCAGCAATATACCATCCCATAGGTAGCGACTGAGTACTTGATCAAAATGAGAGAATAGTTCCTCTGCTTCTTGTTTGTCCACGATTCCCCTTGATATGAAATCTGTGACAAGGGCCCGATCCGATGCATGGTGTCTCCCAGGAGACGTGGTTTGAATATCGCTCAGCTGAGTCACCTCGTACAAGCTTCCCATAGGAGCAGTGACTAGGGACGATGTTCCGTTCTCTTCTCTGTCGAGGGAATACTGCGGCGGTCGGTGAGTGGTGGTGCTGGGTGCACTATTCTCAGTCATTGCGGCGTGCGTAGGCTCGGTGGGCTTGGTTCCCGCGCTATGGTTGCTTGTCGGAAACAGCGCATCTTCTATAGACGCCATAGAGTCGTTGCGATCCCTCGTCTTCGACGGTGGTTCGGCTGACTTGCTGATCGCTTGATAGTAGGATAGTTCGGGGAGTCGAGCTTTGCGAAGCAAGTCCGCCATCGCAAGCTCCATTGCTGCCTTCCATCTTTGCGTAATGCACAAATTCATCAGCGACTCGATGTGATTCAAAGCCATAGGGGACGCAGGAGGGATTTAATTACTCTGTCTCATCGTCTAGCAATGTTTGAAGACTTTTATTGACCACACATTCTAATCCCATCCGACGACAGCGATGACATGCCACTTCCCCCTCATTCATGTCACATCGAACCTTGTGCCGCTTGCACTCTGTGCAGGCGCGGATTCGGCGCGAGATCTTGGGGACATGCTTTGGACTCTGCCGTGAGTCGTGTTCGGGGGTGCGGTGGGCTGCCATATCCTGAGGGGAGATAGCTGACAGACTATCGCAATTGGCCTCAAAAAGATGACGACTTCGCTTCATGGCGGCAACAGAATCATCGTCTTCAAAACATTAAGATCGACCAAAAATGCGCAATTAGGTGAACATATGGCTGGTTGCGATGCGAATTGATTCACAGCCACTACTCCGTACTGTGATAAGATTCAAGGCGGAGAAGGGAAGAGGGGCTTGCCGCTTGGCATGGCAGCTTTGGGTCGGGCAATAAGTACGCCGGGCGGGGGTAGCGGCGTACGGAAGTACAATGAGTAACGTGTGGTTTGCAGGAGCTGTACAGTAGCAGTAGCAGTGAGCAATGGCAAGCAGTGTCAGTCTGGCGCTCAGTGGCCACGGCACAAGTCAATCAAGTCAATCAGCCACTGCTCATTAATATTTCAATCCGAGGCCTAGTCTACTAGTAGTTTAGTAGTCTAGGCCGTGGAGCCCGGCTTATGTAAGAGAACTCCGGGGACGGGGAATTGCCCGAGTCTCCGCTCTAGTCCCAATTAGGTCTAATTATGACGCACGGCGCGTTCAACCTCTCCCAGACCGCGTTTTTTTGTCGCGGCCCGCAAGAACTGCCCTCCTTCTGCTTCATCCTATTTATTCGTTCCCCCCCTCCCCCCCCTCTTTCTCGCAAGGCAGAGCTCTTTCGTCGCATCGCATATTCATAGACTTTTCCAAGCCTACCCAGATTGGGAGTATCCATCATGGGTATTAAAAGTGAGTTGCGCTTTTTCCTACCTTGCCAATTCCGAATCGACAACTGTACACCCGCATGAATGCTAATCTCCGCTCACCATCAGACCTCTTTTCGGTCATCTCGGAAGAAGCCCCTGATGCCGTAAAGACGGGAGAGATCAAAAACCACTTCGGCCGCAAGGTCGCTATAGTATGTCCAGTGCCCAATTGAACCCCCGCTTTCGTTAATTAGCTAGCTGCATCTGTGCTTGTAAGCAGGACTAACCACTATCTGATATTGCAGGATGCGTATGCTATCCCTAGACCCGGCTCGGTCTTCAAACTCAAACCCCGTTGTGACTAATGCCAGTTCAGGTCCATGAGTATCTACAGCTTCCTCATCGCTGTCCGCTCCGATGGTCAGCAGCTCATGAATGAGACCGGGGAGACCACATCACACCTGATGGGAATGTTCTACCGCACGCTAAGAATGGTCGACAATGGCATCAAACCTCTATATGTCTTTGATGGCGCTCCGCCAAAGCTCAAATCGGGAGAACTGGCCAAACGTTTTGCCCGGAGAGGCGAGGCGACGGAAGCGCACGAGGAGGCCAAGGAGACGGGTACTGCAGAGGACGTGGAGAAATTCTCTCGTCGTACGGTACGAGTCACCAGGGAACACAATGCGGAGTGCAAGAAGCTCCTGAAATTGATGGGCATCCCGTATATTGATGCCCCGACGGAGGCCGAGGCACAATGCGCGGTGCTCGCTCGCGCTGGCAAGGTCTATGCTGCCGCTTCGGAAGATATGGACACGCTGTGCTTCGAAACACCCATTCTTCTGCGTCACTTGACGTTTAGTGAGCAGAGAAAGGAGCCTATCCAGGAAATTCACCTAAGCCGTGCGCTGGAGGGACTTGGCATGGATCGCGCGCAGGTACATATTCTACACAGTCCTCCATGATCATTCGGCGCTTGCTTACCCTTCCACCAGTTCATCGACCTCTGCATCCTACTCGGCTGCGACTACCTGGAACCCATCCCCAAGGTGGGTCCGAACACGGCACTGAAGCTGATTAGGGAGCACGGGACTCTTGAGAAGGTGGTTGAGTTCATCCAGAACGACCCCAAGAAGAAATATGTCATCCCGGATGATTGGCCGTATCAGGATGCCAGAGAGCTTTTCCTCAACCCCGACGTAAGGGACTCCAACCACCCCGACTGCGACTTCAAGTGGGAAGCGCCCGACGTAGAGGCCCTTGTGAAATACCTGGTCGAAGACAAAGGATTCAATGAGGACCGGGTCCGCAGCGGTGCTGCCCGCCTGCAGAAGAATCTTAAAACCGCCCAGCAGTCCCGTCTAGAGGGATTCTTCAAGCCAGTAGCCCGAACGGATGCGGAGAAGGCCAATTTGAAGCGCAAGCATGATGAAAAGATTCAGGAGCAGAAGAAGCGCAAGAAGGATGAGGCTAAGGCTAAAAAGGAGGCCAAGGCCAGACCCCGCGGCGCTGGCTGAATGATGGACTACCCATTATGGCGAATTCTGATTCGAGAGCCCCGAGGTGGGGCGGGAAGGGGGAAAAAAGCGAAGGCACTCATTGAGTTACCATGTGATCGACGCAATCATGGGAAACGTGTATATCGCGTCTCTGGGAGAGTGCCTTGATTTGAAGCTTGGCGGCGTTTTTAAGGCTCTGGTTATCGCAAACATGGCAAGGCGTTTATATCGACGAGGATGCGCTAGCATAGCATTATTACTTATTGATGATAATTTACCTTAATTCGATTTGTTACGAATGGTCGCATAGTGCGTATATACATGGTGTGGACAGTCCCTATAGAGTGATGATGCTTGGGGCCGGTTCTACACCCGCATCGACTAATGGGGTTCAACCCCGCCGTAGGTAAGTAAGCCAACCAAATGGAATGGCAGTATCTACAGTACCTTATATCACCAGGGAGCTGTCATGCTCAGCACAGCCATCGTAGTCCGAGCTGAGTGCTCGCTCGTGAGATAGTCGTGGGCTTGTAACAATCAAGCTGGTTTGCTTTGTTCTCCGCGATGCGCAGGTGGTATGATGGCATTTCCCCGACAATGGTGGGTTCACGCGATCCCCGATCTACTTGGCGTGTAATTCGCGAGAGGGATGGGTTTGGAATCGACATCGTTATAGCGCTTGGTTTGTTGATCTGTTGGTATGGTCAATGATTGATATACTCTGTGTCCATATTTTGACGTGAAATTTTCGAGTTCGTTGGTGCTGCGCTCATCCAGGATGCCAATCGAAGAATGTATATCTCCGTTCACGCACATCCGGATTACGAGGGTCAATCGCCTAACCCAAGGTCTTGGTTGCACCATACATGGAAGAAGTGATGAACAAGAAGATGAAAGAGACAGAGGAGTCTACAGAAGTTTACTTCGTACATAAACCATGCGACAACAGGAAAAAAATCCTACTGTTGGTTGGCGTTGTACGGGTAGATTCTGGCCGAACTGCTTCACGCCTTGACGTAGGCAATCGACACCACAGCCCCCACGCAGTGATGCTACTGTCCCTTGACATCATGACAGCGATGATAGAGCATAGTGAAAATGAAAGTAGATTATACAGTTGGATTAACCCCTCAAGTGTGAGAGTATCGCTCTGAGCACTGCTCGTAAGGTATGCATACCCATCGTGGGCGCTCACCCTATAATCCTCAATCGACTTACAAGACACAGCACATTCTCCCTCGTAGCCACACCCCATTCATATACCACACCACATCTCTGAAGGATCCGGTTCATTCAACCAGGGAAGAACCAAATAGCCCCACCAACAGCTCATAGTCCAGCACGAGCGCCTAACCACCAACTGTACGGATGAGGAACCACGGATGCAAGACGATCGCTCGTCGGATCCCAAAGACAAAGCCTTGCACCAATAGGTCAATTTCCCAGGACCTCGACTATGACCTACCCGTTTCGAGTTCTTCTCACCATTGATTCGAGGGAACTTGTTTAAGAGAAGAAAAAAGGAGGAAGAGAAAAGGAAAGGGGGGTGGGAGGTGCGCTGTGGGAGGAGCAAAGAGAAGGTTGGGAGTGCATAACATCATCTCCTCCCCCCTCGTGACCTTCCCAAGCCTCCTCCGCACGAGGAGATCAAGTGGAACAATGAACCTTCCACGCGCTCTCTATACACCGTTTCAAAGCCACTGGATCCAGCTCAATGGATGCAACAGATGCAAGGGGCCGACCAGTAACTGCAGCTGGTCGGACTGTGAGCATCATAGTTGCCATCTAGCTCCATGAGCTTGATTGAACTGCAGAGGAAAGAAAGGTTGGGGTGACATCGATGGGCATCATCGGGAGTTGCAGTGAGTGCGATCGGCCACACGTAACCCACGACCAACCAAGATAATTTTGAATTCCTACATATATTCGAAAACTAATAGATCTAGAGGAGAGAGATAGTACGATAATTGTTAGACTGATGAATGGTAGGTTGGAATGCGACGGGATGGTGGAAATCAGGTTGCAAGATCGAAAGGTGGGAAAAGCAACACAACATCGCGGCCGGCTGAGATCGAGAGTTTTTGCTGATAACAGCGAACAAATCCCTTCGGGAAAGATCCAAAACCACATCAGGCGGTAGGGGAGCCGTCGAGAATGCATCTCCGCCAATTTTGAAGGTAAAAGAAGTTGGGTGAAGGGGGACGATAGAGGGGGCAAAAGAACGCGTCAAGGTTGACAGCAGTCGGATCATGCGCGTGAAAAGCGAGAGAAATCGCAGGTTGAGAGGGAATGCTGATTACTCCAACCCTAGAACGCAGCTCTTGATCTTTTTACTGATAAAACACTTCGACCTTACCATAAGCCAAACTACCAATATATATTAGATGAAGATCTAAAAAGAAAAGAAAAAAGATAGAGAAAATCATCCTAAAAATCCATAGAGAGTGAAAAAAAAAAATTAAATTGGTAAAAAGAGAAATACTTTTGACGTGTTGTGCTCGTCTCGTCTCGTTTCTCAGTGCAGAGCAGAGCAGAGCAGACAGACAGAGGGTGATCCTGTGTCAACACCCGCTGCCCTATAAAGCGCGGATGCCCCGCGGCCCTTCCACCCCTTCCCTCGTCGATTGCTTTTCTTCTCTTCTGCCACAATTCTCCCCATCGCCCACCCCCCTGCTTGAACCTGACGTTTGTCGAGACATCTCCTGTGTCTATTAAACATCTTTCATCATCTATCTGATTCCTCTTTCATCAACTTCTTCCTTCTCTCCCAAACAAAATGCCTCCCAAGAAAGCTACCTCCACCGGCGCGACCAAGAAGTCCGGCTCGAGTCACGCCTCTTACCGTGGTATGTTTTGACTGATCTTTCCCCACCACCACCTCGCGCTATCTTCATTCTAGCTTCATTTTTGTCGCGAATGACTGCTGATTCGATTAATATAGATATGATCAAGGATGCTATCCTGAATGTGAGTTGATCACGTTGTTCCCGGTGCGCTGTGGGATCACGGGCGCTGGGTGGGAACTTCCCCGACCGTGACACGTCGACACGGTGCTTAATTGCTCCCAACGCCCCATCAGGCACTGTCTTGTTCCATCCTAGCTGGATCGCTAACATCTATCTAAACAGCTCAAAGAGCGTAACGGTAGCAGGTAAGCTAACTCGTGTGTCCTTTATCACCGCCAGACGCAGGGTCCCGCCCGTCCAGCGACGTGGCAACCCGACACAGCGTCTCTGTTGCGATTGAAGCTAACCCGTCCCTCTCCTCTGCCCTGTAGCCGCCAGTCCGTCAAGAAATATGTTCTGGCCAACAACAAGATTGCTCCTGCTTCTCAGGCTGCTTTCGACAGCCAGTTCAACAAGGCCATCAAGGCTGGTGTTGAGAAGGGCGAATTCACTCAACCCAAGGGTAAGTCCACCATCTAGTCGCGCGCCTCACCTGCAGCCCTCACCTCGTCAACGGGGAAGATTGCATCTACGCTTGCTTTGCACGCGTCTTTGTTTATCGCTTCGACACGCCTGCTGACGCGTCTTATCTCCAGGCCCCTCTGGTCCCGTGAAGCTTGCCAAGAAGGAAGCTGCCCCTAAGCCTGCCAAGGTGAGTGACCACCGCATCCCCCTAACTGACCCAAATGACTGACTCCATGACAGAAGGCTTCTGCCAAGACTGCCACTAAGAAGACTGCCGCCAAGAAGAGCGAGAAGGCTGAGAAGTCTGACAAGGCCGAGAAGACTGAGAAGGCCGAGAAGCCCAAATCCACCACCAAGAAGGCCACTGGCACTACCACCACCAAGAAGTCGGTTGGCAGACCTAAGGCCAACACTGCTAAGCCTCGCAAGGCCTCGACCACTGTAAGTCATGCTGTGCTTGCCCCCCTCCCTCCCTGTTCTCCGCGCTAGGTGCTGATTTCCACGCAGGCCCCGGCCGTTGTCGATCAACCTAAGGTCACCAGCACTACCAAGTCTGGACGCGTGACCAAGACAACGGCCAAGCCTGCAGCGAAGAGCAAGAAGTCTACTACTACTGCGAAGAAGGAGAAGGCCCCTGCCGCCGCGGCCGCCTCCGCCTAAGGAGATTTCTTTGCAATCGTTTTGAGCGACCAGTTACCTTTTGATCTTTTTGGCCCGTTTCTCTGTTTGCGATGTGTCCTCGGGGTTATATCTTTTGGGTCGTGTCCCCTTCCTTCGTTTGTAATTTTTTCTCTCTCGGCCACCAATCTCCTGGAAGGTTGGGATGATTGTATCTGGGATATGCTGTGGACTGTTTACTCGGCCGTTTCTTTCTCCTTGTTGGTAGGGTCGGCGTCTTGCGGTGGATTTTGCAACGGGATATGTTCTTCAATTGCGTGCTATGCTTTGTACGCCAGTCCAAGGACGGGTGCTACGCTTTGGAATGAAACCACTTGTTTAGTTTAATTAGAAACCGTTGTAGTGGTCAAAGAGGTCGGGATAGAAATGGGTATGCGATCGATGCCCAAGCCACCACCCAGGGGACATGGACCTGGCCCCGCGATCAAGTCCTTCGATCCACCACCAAGCAATGCCAGTGCCAATGCCAGTGCTTATTGGCAAAGAAGACTGCCTACCACGCGGAAGGAATGATCTAAGCTTAAATTCCGTGCATATTCAAGGGCCCAGGGGGTAGTAAAGGTTCCATCCGCACATCCAGATCGACTGGTGGAGTCTTCTTGTGCTCTTACTGGGCTCAGCTGAGGAAGTATGGGAGCAACCGTCCAATACGCAATTTACCACGAGGTATGGCCCATACCCTAGCGCGTACGGATGGTGTGTTTTGCTAAACTTTCCACCCAAATTCACCAAAAATAGGAATTACTTTTCAAGACCAAGTTATCCGCTTAGTCAGTCAGTCTTTGGGTCAATCACTCTGGTTTTGGTTTTGAAGTCGAAAGTTGTAATTAGTACTTGACTACTTTCTTTCTTTCCTTCTTTCTTTCTTTCTTTCTTTTCTTTTCTTTTTTTTTTTTTTTTTTTTTTTTTTT